CCCTATGCTGCTTCAGTCAGGCTCCAGGGCCCCCCCCCCTGCATCAGAGAGGCTGCGCGCTCACATCCTGCCCCTGAAAGCATGACCTGCCCTTTCTAACCATGTTCCTTCCCCAGTGGCTGGACCTGCACCTGAAGGAGAATGTGCCCCCATCACTGCTGCTCCTGTCCCGGGCCATGTACTTGACGGACCTCACCCCCAAAGCCCCCATCATCCCGCCCGTGCCCAAGCTAGAGGTGAGGGGGGAGTGGTTTTTGAAATGTCTGCTGTGGCTGTAGCATTTAGCATTTTCCTCCGTGGGTTTTTAAGTTCGCGTTTTTATTCTCATGTGTTGAATTACTCAACACAATGTTTCCCAATTGCGTCCTTGGGGAGCCATAAACAGGCCACTTTGCTCCTGGAGCTGAGAAGGAGCTAAAACATGGACCGACTCCTGTGCCCCTGGGGACTGTATTGGGAAATGCTGACTTAATGTTTGATAGGGCCTGATCAAAGCAATGCAGCTGCACATTTTTTCCAGATTGAGTTATGACCAAAACAGGGCCCTGGTCTCCCCAATGGGGGGGGGGGTGTGTAACATGCTCCTTATTTTTAATCATCACTGGGATCCACACTTAGCCTGGCTGCTCACTCAGAACCACCCTACTGGGGGCAAATCCCCCAACAACATAGAGGTACACAAAGCCCTACACCATGAGAAGGTGGCAAGAGTGTCTGGGCTTAGTCTTAGAGAATGCGTGAGGAGATCGGACATCCAGGGGGGACTCAACGTGGCTTAACTTCCCCACCTCTACTACCAAAGGTTCCCTCGGGTGCCTCTAAATCTGACCCCCCGGTGCAAGCGGAGCCCCTGTCGGCCAAGCTGGACCCCGCTACTGTCACCCAGGACAAGGTGGGGCTTATCCATGATGAACTCCTGCTCCCCAGACTCGCTAGGCCACGTACGACCAAACCATTTTATATCACGGTCAAACTTATGGCTTCATTTAACCATGTTTCACATTATGTTCTCCAGGCAGAGGAGATCTTGGACAAATCAAGTTCAGATGCACCACCAACAACTACGCAAGTCATACAGGTACAGCTGAAAGCAGCCAGCGTAGGTCAAGGGTGTCACCTGTCGTATTATTATTGTTTATCTAAAAATGCAAAGACTTCTGGTGTGTGTGTGAGTGTAAGTTATGGGAAATGATAAATGGACATTGCTAACTGCTAACTGAACATATTAGCAAAACAATATTTTAGTTATTTGTTTTCATCTCTTCTCTCTCGCTCCCATGATTTGGTCTGGCACTAATATTGTGGGGTTTGTCTTTGTTTTTTTTTGGAAAATATATTTTGTACAGCACTTTGGTAAACTTCCGTTGTTTGTAAATGTGCTTCAAAAATAAAAATGTACTTACTGAAAAGTCATTAAAACTGACAGCCAAACAAGATCATGGTAACTTTGGATTGCCCACAAATGCTGATCCTAGATCAGCACAAGCAGGATTGTCCAAACTCAGTTTTTCCTGGGGCTCAGGTACTAATTAAACTTATTAAAAATTGAAAACTGAGGGAAGAGGTACTTGGTTTTAATGGCTGCTTCTTTATTATTTTTTTTAATCGGCTCTTATTTGACAGCTGAAAGATCAGCTGAGTTACTGTCTAATTGTTCCACTTTAGCTCATAAAACCAACGTGCTCTGTAGCCTTGGTGGAACACTGGAGAATCATCACATGAGCTCAGTGTAGTTTACAGCTGAAAGTGATCAGTTGGTTTTAGGTTTGAATCTCGATGTTCACACTCATCCATCCTTCTTGTGCATTTTCAGGTGAAAAATGCAGAAGCGTCCCAAAAGTCCAAGATGAGTGCAAATGGGGTCTAACAGTCCTGCTGTTGGCATCGGCTTTCCTCCACGCGTTTTGCGGGAACAGACGTTCCCACTCTGCCCACTCTATACGCTGTTAGGACACAAAGCGGTGGGCTGAGCACCCAGAGTGGCGAAGGTCCCTCCCCAGCCCATCCTCGGACCCCACCCAGCTCCATGTGGTGCAGCACCAGATGGCCCGGAAGCAGCGAGGAGGTGGAGCTTTCCACGGGACTCCTGCCTCACCCTTCTGTCCCAGCAGAGTGGTCTGTCCCACAGTGGATGACCTCTAACCTCTGACCTCAACCTGTCACTGTTTGCACTCCACCAAGAAAGGAACTAGGAGACAAATACCTGGTTGCATCACAAAACTCTGAAATCTCTTTTTGACAATAATTAGTTTGACGCCTGGCCACAGAGCCGTAAATTGTATATTTGTAAATACTTTGTAAATGAAGGCCACAAGTGTATTATATTCAAAGCAGTCCATGCCAAATTTGGCCTACAGTAAAGACCTCTTCTAATTTCAGACCACACTTAATATGATGTAAAGCAAGTAAATGTAGTATTTTTTAAAGATTAAACATTTATTTAGTTTCCGATGAGGTATACTAGATACACCCTATGGCACTAAACTTAGATATGTGACTTTATGAATGAGTGTATGGTGTTAATATCATCACACCCCCCAAATTGCTTTGTGAAGGGGTCATTTTCAAAAGCTTTTTCTGCCGTCTACGTTCCTGAAATGTTACGCATTAGTAGCTGGGCAGGGACCCCTCAGTATGACGTGGGATGGATTTTGTTACAAATTACAGAGGCAGTTTTATATAAAAACAAACTAAATTTATTTCGGCATATAAAACCACAGTGGTTTGAAAACGCCTATTCTCCTGTTTATGTACTGGTTATTATTCCTGCTTGTAAGTAATATCCCAGTGATTAATTGGATCAGATGTACACATTTATTTGTAAATATTATTGTCCAATTTCTGGAAAACCTTTGAAAACCTCAGATATGTCAAGGTTCATTCTTTTCCATCAGTATTGTTTTTTTGTCCCTCAACTGTAAAAATAGCTGAATTATCTGCTCAGCTTCTGCCTCCAGATGCCAGTGAGCCGCAGTGAATGCTGTCCTAAGAAGTTCTTCACCTGTGTGATGGTGTGTGTGCATAGCTGTGTACATGCAGTGCAGTCAGTCCACATAATCTTCATGTGTATAACAGAATATTCCGACGATGTATTTAAAAGCTGCTGATTGTGTAAAACAAGGACCACCCTTATGCTTGAATCTCCCAATTCTCAAAGGATGGCTTATCTTGCTCCTTGTTTTATGCCTTATGTCAGGGGGGGGGGACCTGGTCCATGGAGGGCCGCTGCGGGTTTTTGGGATGGCCTCTCGATCAGTCAATAACAGAGCGTCCCCAGGACTGGAGTGGAGAACCACTGCTTTATTACTGGCTGATTGACAGGTCGTCCCAAAAACCGGCACCCCCCCCCGCGTTATGTGGTCCCATCTTCACTGCCCTGATGTGCCTAACATCAGCATAGGCTGTGACTTATCTTCACTGGTCAATCCTAGCCATGCCACCTGCATTAATGTGGTTTTCAGATGTGCTTGGAAATTGCAGACTCTTATTCTGACCTCCCCCATTCCCATATGGAATTATGGCAAGATATGGAATGTATTTGATTAAGATAGTTTGAATATTTCCTGGTGCTGCAGTGTCTCTGGTTAGCACTGTCGCCTCACACCACTGAGGGTCAAATCCCACCTTTGCCCTGTCTGGAAATTGTCCTGCATCCCATCCAGAGTATAACCCCGGCCTTGTGTCCTGTGTTGCTTGAGATAGATTCCTGGTTGCCCAGCGATAGATGGATGGATGGATGGCAGGCAGGCATTTAGTGTTTTTCTTCTTGCCTTTAGAATATGTTTTATTGGGTTCATACATCCCTTCGTCCCAGAGCGATACACACTGTGTGAGGTGATGTTTCCAAATGCAGAGGGAAGGTGTCAGGAGTTGATGCTCTCTGTTCCTTGGTTTGCATGCTGTTCTTTCTTCTGGCCTTTATATGACTTTAAGCCGGTGTTTTTCAGCCCAGTCCTCACAGTGCCATTCTGCTCCCTCCTAGTTCCCAATACACCTATATGAGAAGATCAGTGTTCTTCATGGTTTGGTGGTAGCTGGGAGTGAGTGAAAACGTGGACTGTCCGGGGTCCGCCAGGACTTGGTTGAAAAACCCTGGTTTAAGTGATTTGCATTGTTTAGCTGTTACTTTAAAACAACACCTGCAGAGAGGAAGACCCACCTGCAAGTGACCCGTTAGGACCTGCCCAGCTAACCTCTGGGTGGGGGGAGGGTGTCCTTTCAATTCCCACAAGGCCTTTCTGTGCCATTTTACAGTCAGTTACATCCCATATAAAACACTGCACTCTGGTTCTGTGGGACTTCTGTAATTCCACCTCTCTTGTGTGCATTGAGAATATTATTTTTTTTACATCTGGTACAGAGTGAGCAAGAGATTTAGGGGGTGAAGTGGAAGATGTATTAAAAAAGAACAAACAAATGACTTGTTTCATGCTGTTGCATCAAGAATGTCCTCAGTTAACTATTGTTCATTCTAGGAACGTTTACTGAACGTTATGTTTGGAGATAAGTACGGAGATGTTCAAAGTGTTCAGTTTTCCTGATGTTCCCAGAATGTTATCCTACTACTACAATTAAGAATGATAATGGGTAACCCGTAAAGGGCGCAGAACAGTGAGCAGAACTATTGCTTTGTACCTCTAAAACATCATGGGTTCAAGGCTAGACAGCTCATTCACACTATACACAAATAGTCCTTTCATAATGTAACATTTTTATTAAACAATTGTTCAACAATATTTGGATCAGATAACATTACTATCATGCTGACATTGACGGAACCTTTGTTCAAAGGTAAAATGTAAGAACATTCTCTGCCAGCGTCGAGAAGATCTTTTCCTAATGTCTGAAGTTCTGGAAACGTACCCTGTTAGCTGGGTTGGTGTCCTTCACACGAGAGCAGCATCTCACCAGAATATTCTGTATTACCTCTAGTTCCTTTTACTCATTTTTTGCTCAGATTTTTGAGGGATGTAGAACATTCTCACAGAACTTCAGGACCCCAAGTTTCCTTGTAGCCCTCTTGAGAAATTCATTGTAATATGTACCGTGCTCACAGAAAGTCTTGCCATATTTGCCAGAGAATTCAGTAAAATTATTGCAGATTTACTGGCAAGCGTCCCAGTTTTTTCTGTGATCACTGTGTCTGTAACGGCCACCTGTGTTCCTGTGAGCACTGTAACTGTAACGGCCACCTGTGTTCCTGTGAGCACTGTAACTGTAACGGCCACCTGTGTTCCTGAAGCCATGTTTATTTTTTCAGAACAAAATGACTTTGCCTATGAATTGGATCAGGTATATAGCAATAGCATTTATAGTATGTGGGGCGGCAAGTGTCAAAGCCTCATCTTCGTGCACAAAATACATTCTGCGCCACACAATGCATTATTTAACACAAAATCATGTAATACGTTGCTGCATTTTGTCCACAGAACGGCAAACTCCTGTTGCATTTTGTCCACGAAAGCATAAAGACTTAACTTTCTTTCGTGCACAAAAATCCAAAGGGATGTTTCATTTTGTTCACGGAATTGATATCAGCACCTTGCATTTTGTGGATAAAAGAAAAGCAATTTCATTCACAAAATTATTTATTAGTTATTTTATTACACTAAATTACACTAAAATTCATTTTGTGTACAAAATGTATTTTGTGAATGAAGGTCATTTTGTCAACTAAATAATTTCACTGTGGACTACATTCATGAACGAAAGAATGGTATTTTGTGGACAAAATATTTTTTGTCAACTAAAATTAATATTGTGTACAAAATGCATTTTGAGGGTGATAGGAAGTATTTTTTTGGACAAAATGTACATTATGAATGATGCACAGCTATTTGTGGAAGAAATTGATTCTGTGGAACCACAAAATGCATTTTGTCTTTTGCTGAGTCACAAAAGGCACGTACTGTAGTAAGCTCACGCCTTTGGGTAGCGTAGTACTTCCCAATGACCAGAAGGTGGCGCACCGGCTTTGATTTAGCAGACTTGTGTAATTACATTTAACCTTGCTATTGTGTTAGGGTGGGCACCGATGCATAAAAACACCACAACAATTTGTGTACTGCATCAAGGCTTTTTGACTTTGTCAGGAACCTCTATTTAAACAAAAAAATAAAACTTTTTCACTAGGCAAGGCATGCCCAGACATACAAGGCAAGATAAGACCAGTTCAGTTTATTTATATAATTCTCTTGAGGTTTATTTTACCATATTTTTTTTTATTGAAAACGAGAGATGTGCTGTTAAAACAAAGGTCCAGAAAGCCACACCAAAAATATCTTTTCATGGATAAGGAAGCTCAACAAGGCAACCAAGAGGTAAGAAACAAATTGGATGATAAATAATTGTTTTGAGGGTATTTTATGGCTGATGTAAGACACGGGTCAGTACCGACCCGTCTAACATAAGAGATAGGAACAAAAAAACTAACATTTGAGAAAGGTTAAGTTTAATAAAAATTATATTTTAAGCCAAGCTAATGAAAGATCTCTGCACAAATTCCTTCCAATTGTAGGCAGTCATACATGCTGAAAATAACCATGGCAATTTCCCCTGAATAACACTGCACCCCCGATAGTTCAGATCAGACACACTGGGTAGCCTACAGGTAGAGTGCAACAATAAAATGATGAATATGGATGGATTAATACAAGGAGTCAGAGATGGTCTGCATATGTCCCATCTGGGGTGTGACACCAGCCTTGTGCCCAGTGCTGCTGGGACAGGCTCTTAGTTCACCCGCAATCCTGACCAGAATAAGCGCTTGGAAGATGGTTGGATGGATGGATGTATGGTAAACCTTTATGTAGACTGGCATCTCACCCAGAGTGTCCTGTGTCCTGGGACAGGCTCCTAGTTCACCCGCAATCCTGACCAGAATAAGCGCTTGGAAGATGGTTGGATGGGTGGATGGATGGTAAACCCTTATGTAGACTGGCATCTCACCCAGAGTGTCCTGTGTCCTGGGACAGGCTCCTAGTTCACCCGCAATCCTGACCAGAATAAGCGCTTGGAAGATGGTTGGATGGGTGGATGGATGGTAAACCCTTATGTAGACTGGCATCTCACCCAGAGTGTCCTGTGTCCTGGGACAGGCTCCAGACTCCCCGTGTTCCTCTACAGATTAGGAGGCATAGGGAGATCAATGTGAATTTCAGGTAAGATGAGATTCACATAATAGGTCAACAGTAGGGAGGGAGCGAAGAGACAGCAGGAGACCTGAAACCGCTGGCTGGCCACTTATAGCTGTTGTTTTAGGCTCTTGGAGGTTTTTTTGAATCACGGTTACCTTGATGACTGTTAATGTGGGTTTTCCAGCCATTTTAAAGTCCATTTTTTTCTGGCTTAGGGTTGGTAAATTTTGCCCTTTCTGTCATTTATGACATGAAAAAGTTTTAATTCAAATCGAAAGTAACTCAAGGAGGCTGCCTTGTGGGCCGCCACCTTTATACTAGTGACAGAAACTGCAGTAGTTTCTTTCTCTCTTTCCCCGGGCAAGGATGTGGTTATCACTGCAGCTTCCTGGCTGACAGAGGTGCACGGAGACACGAGACTCTTCGCGCGTGTATGCGGACACACAGGCTCCGAGCCACGTCTGGGGGATCGCTGGCTGTGGAGAGGACAAGTGGATCCGTGTGGGAGGGTCTGTTTCGGGGAAGCTGTTAATTCTCATTAGTCACATCTGTAAGGGCAGGGGGGAGTCGCGAGGACTGGGTCGAGAGGTCAAGGCCGGTTGCCATGGCGTCCCTCCTCATGCGCATCTTCCGCATGGGGGCAGAGAAGAAGCGAGTGAAGCAGTACGATAACCTGAAGAGGGATGTGGATCCTACTGAGGGCTGGGACACACTGCAAGAGCTGGGAGATGGGGCCTTTGGGAAGGTCTACAAGGTAAGCCAGAGCCGGGGGGGGGGGGCGCTTTCTTTAATGTTGTCTGTGGGTGGCTACAGGTGGGGGTGGGGGGGTGTTTCAAGGTTTTGAACCACGAACCATGGCTGTTAACCACGAACATCATCATAAAATGGGAATGACGACTGCCAGCTAGAATTACACCGAAACAGATGTACCTTATAACTGCTAAGTTGGATATTCTAACCTTCCCCCTGGCGGGGCTGGCTGTATGTGTGTGTGGAACAGGTATACATTACATTGTGGGGACCAAATGCCCCCATAATGTGATAAAAGCCTGTTAATTTGACATTGTGGGGACCATTTTTCAGGTCCCTACAATGGGAAATTCAATTTAATAAAAATTTGTGACTGCAATCAGAAAATAAACATGCCAAAAGACTTGTATTTTGTTTGGTTACTTTTGGTTGATGTTGTTGTTTGGATTAGGGATTTGCTCAGAAAATTGAATGGAGGGTCCCCACAAAGATAAGAGTACAGGTCTCTGTGGGTGTATATATATGAACTTGAACTTGTGACTATAATACAGTAATATCATGCATACTTTTCCCAGTTTCCTACACATTATACTGTACATGACCAGTTACTCAGCAGAGTAACTCTACCTTAATTCTTTTCTTCCCAAAAGCCCTGGAAACTTGGGCTTTGTTCCACAAATGGTTGCTATGTTTATATACTGCAGGAAAATTGAGATCTATGCTGCACCATAGAGATTCTGTCTCGCCATTGCTTTCTGATAGCAAACAACAGACTTCAGGCCCCTGTCTGACATTTTGAGATGACTTTAGCTGGAATACCCTGACTGGGTTACCCCCATTCTGCCTCTTATATTGTGCAAAAATGTAGAAACTGGCAGATAAGGGGCCGACCCTCAGTCAAAACCACAAGTCGACCTGTTGATCTGAACAATAGGTGGCTGAGTCATTCCAGAGACTTGGTAAAACACAATAAAATTCTCTGTCTCAGAACAGAATTCTTATTTTTTCAATTTACTGGTATGTACTTGTTGTATGTTCTATAAAGATTTTGACTCTGAGGGTGATAAAAACATTTTAGCGTTACCTAGGATACTGTATATGAAAGGCCTTTGAGGGCATGTTGTGGTTTTGGTGACTTCCTGTAAGCCATACATGCTGAAAATAATTTCCTGTCTGACATTCTAACCTACATTTGTCTGTTTTACCTCTGTCTCCTCATACACAAACTTCTCCTGTCTGATAACGTTTCCACTTCACATTAAAAAAAAAATACAGAGAACATGCAAAATCTCAGCATTGAGGACAGTAAAATCTCATTGGCTGACTTACAGTACCTACCAGCAACGTTTCCTGATGTTTTCATCACTAAGACCTTCATATTGCTATTGACAAATACTGTATAGTGTGGAGAAACAAAGATATAAGAATTTATCAATCACAAATTCCACAATTCATTACAGTCAGAAGAGAAAGCCTAACAAACATCAGTTTTTTAACCCTGACAATCTACCTCCTTGTCTTTTATGTTCAGGCATGCAACAAGACGACTAAGGCTCTAGCAGCAGCCAAAATCATAGAGGTGCGCAGCGAGGAACAACTGGAAGACTACATTGTGGAAATTGACATTCTGGCATCCTGTCGCCACAGTCATGTTGTTGCTCTTCTGGATGCCATTTTCTTCGAGGGATGGCTGTGGGTGAGAGACTGACCTGACCCCCGTCCCATTACACATGTAGTAAATGGAAAAATTCACATCTTACAGTTTGTTTATTGTTACGGTTAATGGATTATGGTGGTAACACTGGGGTGGCATTCCTTTGGGTTTTCTATTCTTTTCCCAAAGAAATTGCCCAAAGCATGCCATCATGTGCATAAGGGCACCGTGATGGACTGGCATCCCATCCAGGTGCTCCTGTTTTGGACCCTGTCCTGCCTGTGATAGCGCTCAGGCCCCGCTACCTCCATGGCCAGGATAAGTAGTTGGAAGAAGAATGGACTGGAATCAGGAACAAAAGACCCCTGACTTTGAGATAATGTCCCTACAGCTTCCTAAAGACACTGCTGAAATATGCTTTGAATTGTTTGGCAAATATTGACAGTATTACAGCTCAGAACATGACTAGCTGTTCTTACAAAAGCCTAAATTGCTGACCTCTGTCTTCCCATGAGATCCACAGCACAGAAACAGGTCTTTTGAGTGCTGGAAGTGATGAGTCTGACATCTTGTGGTCTTGTGCTGGGAAATTTCCTAAGCAACATTACCAAGAGACCCCTATGAATTAACGCTATTTCTCTCTCTGTTTCACTCACACAGATCCTGATTGAGTTTTGTCCTGGGGGGGCCCTCGATGACATAATGTTAGGTAAGCTGTCGGGAGCCTGTGGTTCACGTTCCTCTCAAGTGCTGGAACATTCCTATCTACCTAGACTATTTAGAATAATCAGGGATGCAAATAATTGGCACGGAAGTACGCATCCACCTTTAAAAGCGATACGTGCGGCAGTTGATTGTTGTAACAGCACAAATGCGTACTTTTTTATGTGCTTTTATGTTGATATGACAAGAAATTATTGTGCATTTTTACCTTCATATGCCAATTTGTACTTCATGCACAGTAATTTCTTGTCATAGCAGTGCTAATGCACATAGAGTATGTACACGTTTCCACCGGCATACTTACGGCTTTTAAAGGTGGATGCGTACTTGCGTTCCAGTCATATGGACCCCTGAGTATAATCCAAGAAAGTATAATAGCTCAGTACATTTATTTTATCAGACACTTTTATCCAGAGCAATGTACAATTTTGTGAAAGTCAGGTCAGCCTGTCACTGGAGCAGTTGGGAGGTTGAGGGCCCAATGGGTGACATCATTCTGCAAACCCAGGGATTTGAGCCGGCAGCGTTCCAGTTACAGGCACGGCATCCTAACTGATTGAGCCATAACTGATGCATTATATTTGCAAACAAAACAAAAACATGCTTTATTTGCCATTTGCACAAGTATGGGTAGATTGGAAAGCTTCTCCTTTGCCAACCCCATCCTTCTCTCCATAGCTTGGGGTCACAGAACAGGGTCAGCCTGCATGCTGCACCCCTGCGGCTGGGGGTTAGGGGCCTTGCTCAGAGGCCCAACCCTGAGTCTTGACCTGGCACCCTTCTGATCATGGGCACAGAGTCCTAACCCCTCAAACTCCACACCGCCCCTCAGAAACATGTGTGTGTACAGAAACATAATCTTCAAGATCAGGAAACAGCACCTTTTTATAGGGCTCAGAATGTATGCTCACGGTGTCTGTGTACTCCTCAACACAAAAGAAAATGTCACCAAAACAATCTCTGAGAGACCAACCAAGAGGGTGTTTCACTGACAGGATGTGACATCACTCGCTGACCCAAAATCGCAATGGCAGAGCATTATGGGAAGTGCGGCTCTGGTATGGGCAGGTGTGTGACTGGGTACACACTGACATGAGTGGGCACTTTCCAGAGCTGGAGCGTGGTCTGTCGGAGCAGCAGATCAGCGAGGTGTGCTGCCAGACGCTGCAGGCCCTGTCCTACCTGCACCAACATCACATCATCCACAGAGACCTGAAAGCCGGCAACATCCTGCTCACCACGGAGGGTCACGTCAAGCTGGGTAAAACCTCACCTAAAAACAAACTGAAATAATATTACACTTATTTATATATTAACCACAAACTAAAACTTAGTTTCATATTTATGTCATGTTCATTTGTTATTAATGAATTGTAATGCCAGTTTTATTTTGAGCAGTCACTATATTTGTTACTGTACTTGTTAATTCTGTAAACGCTTGTGAACGACTGAAGGAACGAGTCATTACTGATCTCATGTTTGTTCATCATTAATGAATCATGATCTATCTTAAGAGGTGACTATATGTGTTCATGATTTGTACTTCAGTAGTAACTGAGTTATTACTAAGTGCCCCATCATGTAAAGTGTTACCAATAAAAATTAATACATGAAAAACATCAGACCATCCCTCAACACCTTATCATAAAAAATGATATCTTACTCCCCTGTCTGTTTGGACCTCGTAACATTTGCCCTTTACGTTTTTCTTTTTTCTTTTCCCATAGCTGACTTCGGAGTATCTGCAAAAAATGCCAACACTCTCCAGAGGAGAGCAACCTTTATTGGAACTCCTTACTGGTCAGTAACCCGGCTCTGAATGTGTGCTACAAACGGCGCATAATACCGAAGAGGGACCTAACAGTATGCGAGAGCTGTGACTTCACCTTTAAGATTTCCTGTTGACGTGGCCACAATCGGAAACCATCTTAATGGACAGCAACAAGGAAATGTTCAGGCAGAAATGTTCAGGCGGAAATGTTCAGGCAGAAATGTTCAGGCGGAAAATGTTCAGGCGGAAATGTTCAGGTGGAAATGTTCAGCACTCCAACAGCTGTGTCAAGGCAATGCATCTTTTCACCATTGCATACAATCATCTACGATAATCATTTATTTTATCATTTTATCCACATATTATAATAATTTATTTTATTATCTATTTCCAAGAATATGGGGGGTCTCTCCCCCCCAAGAAGGTAGAGGCTAGAGTATTATTTTATATATAAATTTAGTCTTATTTTAATATATATTATTATTTATTATTATTATATATTATTATTATTTATTTAGAACTTATTATTTCTTGTTTGCTTGTTTTAATTTATTTCTTTTTCTTCTTTTAAAATGTCTGTAAAACACTCTGTAAGCACTGTGGTTAAAATAGTGCTATATAAACAAAGACTAATTGATTGACGGTTAGGGAAGCTAGACTATACACTCCTTTAATCTTCAATGAAAGAAGCCTTGTGTCTTACAGACATCTGATAAACCACTCTAGTGCCAAGATCTACATTCTGAAATAAAAAATTTCATTCCACGATTTGCTTTCAAACACGTGCAAACGGAGAAAACCGGCGTCACGCATCTTTAGTTAGTGTTTGCTGTAGCGGCTGCTCTGTGTCGACTCGTCTGCCTTTCTGTCCTAGGATGGCCCCAGAGGTGGTGCAGTGCGAGACCTCCAAGGACAACCCGTACAGCACAAAGGCAGACATCTGGTCCCTGGGCATCACACTCATTGAGGCTGCAGAGATAGAGCCCCCACACCACTCTCTGAATCCCATGAGAGTCCTGCTGAAGATCGCCAAGTCGCCCCCTCCCACACTCGCCAACCCCCGACTATGGTGAGTCCACACAGCCCTGTGATATCAAATCCTGCTCTGTCAGCTGCATCCCAGCACTGTCGCACTGCATGTGTAAAGCACATATACAGCACCCTCCATAATTACTGGCACCCCTTCTAAAGATTTGTTAAAAAAAAAAAAAAAACGGCTTAGAAAAAATCCACCTTTTGGTGAAGTAGCTTCATCTGACACTGAAAAAAAGAAAAAATTCAACCTGGAGAGATTCTGTACAGAGGAATGTACTCAGATACCCTGCTCTGTATTCTCCAACCTTACAAAACATTATAGAAGAAGATTTAATGCTGTTATGCTGGCGGCTGTACAAAAAACAACTAAAATTTTGTGAAAAATGGCAGCTAACATTTGGCTAATCCTACGTTTTGCCAGAAATGTTTTTCCTGAAAAAAAGGTTCCATAGAGTGACCCAAACTTTGTCTGGTGCTGTCCTGTTTTCTAAATCAATTTGGCATTTGGAAACCTCTGTTTCACCCACTTTCAATATAGTTTATTTTTATTAATGAGTAAAATGTAAAATGTGACTAAAACTAAAATATATTTTAGTCATTTGACTAAGACCAAAACTAAATAAAAAATTGCTGACTAAAATGTATTTTAATTATTTGACTATAACTAAATTAAAAATGGTGTCAAAATTAACACTAGATGGTAAGATTATGGATCTGCCAATCCCTGCTTGATATTAACAATTATTTGCATGGAGAGAGAATATATTGTATGTTGTAATTTTGTTAACTTTTCAGAATCTTTCTACTAATGACTGGCCTTAATTGGCTTGATTGGATGGAAAACAAGTAGTAAAACCATTGGACTGGTGTGTTACAATAAGGCCTGACTGTCTGTCTGACATGCCAGTCATCTTCCTGCGGGGCTGGGGGCTCTGCCGGCTTGTGTGGCTCTATCTTTGGGTACCCCCCACTCACATCCCCCACCCCACATGGTAAAATTTATCGTGAGTAAGTGCCTGTGGTGGGCACTGGTCCAGCCACGCCCTGATGCTCATGCTGGGGAGTGTAGAGAGCGGAGCTGTAGCTGTGATAACGCTGCTTCCCCTGCTCTCCGTGTCCCAGGTCTTCCCACTTCCAGGATTTCCTGCGCAGAGCTCTGCAGAAGAACCCCGAGTCGCGCTGGAGCGCGCAGCAGCTGCAGGCCCACCCCTTCGCCTACGCGGGGCGAGACGGCCACGCCCTACGCGATCTCATCGCAGAGGCCAAGGCCGAAGTCACCGAGGAGATCGAGGCTGAGGTATGAAACAACCTTTGCAGCTCTCGGATAACAAGGCAATTGTTCTGTACTTTTAAGCACACTTTTCCTTAATTATCTCTAGATTAGATAGATAGATAGATGGATGGATGGATGGATGGATGGATGGATGGATAGACAGACTTTATTGTCATTGTACCGAAGTACAATGAAATTTCTTCTGTGCCAAACCTGAATAAAAGTAATCTACACATGTACACACATACATACCAAACACATGTAATAAATTGACTTAAAAACCAACATCTAAAACAATAACGTGAATAAAAGCGTCTCCTACAGTACATTTCATTGTCTACTTACTGTATACTGCCATGTTTCCCTTAGTTATCATACAGACAGATATAGTCTAGTGAGTGGCACCAGTCATCTTCAGAGAGGTCAGAACTGTCTCTGTTTGCAATGTTATTAGTAATCTACTTACTACCCCTTCGAACCTACATGAAACAATAAAGAGAAGCATATTAGTGTATAAAACAAAGCGGAATGTTATCCTGCTAGATTAAGAACTTCATATTCTTAAGGTGTGTTTTCTCTTTCCAGTCGTTGCTGGACCTGCAGAGGTCATTGCCAGAAGAGATGGCTAATGATTCTGAGAAACTGGCCACCCTGCCGGGGGATGAGGGAGATGGTAATGGACCAGTGAAGCAGTCTGAGTGCCCTCCAGATGCCCCGCCCACCATGGAACAAGGCGACAGAGAAGGGGACCCCACTGCCTCTGTGGAGCCGAAGAAGAATGAGAATGTTCTTGTGACCCGGAGGTCATCCAGCGCTGCAAAGAACAAGCAGAAGCTAATGAGGCGTCTGTCTGTCCCCGGAACCCTGTTCTCCTTTCTCACCGGCAGCTCCAGGCGCTGCAAGTCGGGCTTTTGGGAGGAACCGACGGCTGAGAGGAATGAGAATGAGGCCCAGGCGAGCGGCCAGCTGGTCTCATCGAGTGCTGAGAGACTCGGTCCTCTGGGAAGCCAGGAGAATTTGGAAAAAAGCACGAGCACCACTAGTAAAGAAGAGACTTCCCTTTTGACAGCAGATGAAGGGGGGGCCAGCGACGGTGACAAAGCAGGCAGTCCACATGAGCATGAAGAAGAGATCACAGTGGCACTAAAGGCTGAATGTCAAGCAACGGATTCACCTGAAATAGACATGAGTCCAACCTGTGATTATGAAGCTGACAATGCTGCAGTTTCAGATGAGGATTGTACAGGCTTGGTAACTGAGGTCAATGCAGATAAGGCAGTGCCTACAAGTTCTACAGAATGCTCCCAAAACAGCAAAACACCAGATCTGGATATCATATTCACCTGTGACGTTTCCCGTATGCCGCTACGTCTGCAAAATGAACTGGTCCTAGCCTTATCATTAGAATGGCCAAAGACCTACTCAAAAGATGATGGGAAATCGGGGTTTTCAGCACTGGAATACCTGGATTTGTGCACAATAAACAAAGAAGCTGATCTTCGAGTCATTGTGCCGATAAACGAAATCGACACTAGAGAAGAAAGCCAGAGTGTGACAGAGGAAGCTGTGAAGGACCCGGAAGAACCTGAAGTTGACGGTGTGGAACATAACGAGGTAAAGAGGATAGATGAAGGAGTTGTGGAGGAGGTGGAAATACTGAAAATAAAAGAGCAAGACAGTGAGGCAGAAGGTTACTGTGAGGAGGTGGGACTGCAAAAGGAAGTAGGGTCAGTGGAGATGTATGAAAAAGATAAAGTATTGGAGGAACTGGATGTAAAAATAATGGACACTGAGCAATCACTGGTCCATTCAGAGATAGCCAACGATGAAGGCATTGAGCACGATGGCAATGAGACCACACGGTCTAAACAGGAGACAGCGGTTTTGGCTGATAACGAAACCAACATCTCATACATTCAGTTAGAGAAGGAAAAAGTGGGATGGATAGAGACAGGTGAGGATGACATGGAAAAAGAGAAGGAATCTGGGAAAACAGAAAACCAGCCAGAGCCAGTGAATTGTGAAAGTGTAAACAATGAAGAAACAAATGAGGATATGAAAGCTGGGAAAGTTGAAGAGACAGATACTGTTGGAGCGGAAATAGTGGAGGAAAAAGAGGAGGTGGAGAAGGAAAGGACAAAAGACATAATGCCAGGAGATCTTGGAAAGGTGCCAGGAGATACGACAGATGAGGTGACAGAGCTGCCTGAGGAGCACAAGGAGAAAACAGACGATGGAGAAAATGCTGGTACCAAGACGTCTGAGGACAGCAAAGAGTCAGTCACTGCGTCCCAGAAATCCAGCAAGAGGGTAAACTTTGCAGAGGAGACTGAGATTAAAAGAGACGGAGGGCAGGAAGATGTTCTGAACGGGATTGCTGCAGGGTCGCAAACACCAGACAACGTGAGCACTAGATCCGGTGGCCACGAGCTCACCGAGGATCAACCAGGATCGCCACTAAACAAGAGCCAGCCTAACAGCCCAGATACGGAGATTCCATTTCCTCTAACGTCAGGAGCTGACGGGGTGAGTGAGCCCACAGTTTCAGGCTAAAAAAGCCTAAATGTAGCCCAGATTGATCCTTTCTTGCCTCCTCCCATTGCCTCCCTTTTAGGACCTGCCTTCTAACAGAAAAACAATTAAAAAGACGCGTAAGTTCATGGTGGACGGGCGGGAAGTGAGTGTCACCACATCTAAAATCATCAATGATGGTGACAAAAAGGATCAGCTGCTGCGATCTGTCAGGTAATGCACCCCCCTTAGTGTAAAAATGACATGACGCTGAAGTCGTATTGAATACTAAAAAATGACTCAGAAATTCCACAGAGCACCTACGTTTGCATAAAAATAAGAAACTTACAAACAACACCATCTGTAGCTGCTTGTATTGTAACTTTGCAGACGACAGGAGCTGCATGCACTCAAGGTTCTGCAGCGTGAGGAGCAGCGTGAGTATGCGCAGATGGAGCAGCGGCTGCAGCAGCAGAGGGAGCAGATGTTCCGCCATATTGAGCAAGAAATGACGGTAAGTTTGAGTAAGTTACGTAACGGTAAGTGAGAGTTTGATACTAGGGGACACAACTTATGCAAAGTTTTGTTTTTTTTGGTGGGGGGGGGTTGATACCTAATTAAATATTGAGAGGTACACATCCCTCCCACATCAGATGTGTTTCTTAAGCCCCTGCGTGAAGCTTGTTACAGAAGTCAGATACTGGAAAACAATTACTGTCCTACCATCACTACCATCTACCTCAACCTTTGCTCAAATGGAAAAATGGGTCGTTACTCATCTGTGTGGGCTTCTCTGTGGATGTGACTAGTAGTAATATAAACAATGGGACGAAAAGGACACATGAGACGTCGCCAAGCAGCGGCCCTGTCTTGAGCTGTGGTTTCAACTGGCTGACTGTGGGCCAAAAATCACCGTTTGTCTATGTTGCCTCAATGCAGAGCAAGAAGCAATATTACGACGGGGAGCTGGAGAGGGTGGAGCGACAGTACCGGCAGCAGGCCGACCGCATGGAGGCGGAGCACACGGCGCGGCTGCGGGAGGAGGCACGGCGCCTGAAGGGGCAGCAGGAGCGCGAGCTGGAGCGGAAGGCGCCGGCACTCAAGGCCGACCCCCGGGAGGTGAGTGATCAGGGAGCCCTGACTGGCCAATTATCTATGAAACACATTCAGCTTCACGTCTGCTTATCCGTCCATTTCCTGTGACTGCTCACCCTGTAGAGGGTCATTGTGAACGTAGGTGCCTTTCCCAGAAATCATGGGGCACGAGGCAGGGGGCATTCCTCATAGTGCTAGTCCACTGGAGAGCACACACTCAGACAACTGGCTGTTTGAAGACACCGACTGGGGAACATGAAGGCTCCACACACTGAGCCCTCAAATTACCATCCTGTTCCATATGTACACTGTTACAAAACCCAGAAACTAATCTTCAGTCACTTGGAAGTACCCTGTGGGTCGACTTTCCAAGGGATCCCCAACTTTTTCATTGTGCCAGGTCTGCAGGACAAACGGAGGGTCCATTTTCGTTCAGTGTTCGGTGCAGAATGGTGCAGACAAGTCCTGTGCTTCTCCAAATCCCTAGGAGCAGAGATTCCTCCAGAAGCAGCAGCAGGAGCTGAACGAGGGTCTACAGAGGGCTGTCCAGGAGCACAAGAGGAAGGTGGCCTCTATGGAGTGGGAGGTCACTGTCAAGACCCAGCAGCTCAAGAGAGGTACAGACCTCCCTCAAGCCAGACGTCTGCGCTTCTCTGCATTCGATCCATCCATCCATCCATCCATTCATCCATCCATCCATCCATCCATCCATCCATCCTCCCCATGTTCAGCTGCAGTTTATTCAATATGGGATCTTGAGCTAGAAGAGCTTCGAAAAGATCTTAGGCAGTGAAAGAACTGTCTGGATAGGAGGTATATATTCACTCAAGAAAAAAATGCATAATTTAACTTTGCAACATATGCAAATTAACAGTAGAGCAATAAAAAATAAGATATTCTTTCTGTTCTCCAGAAAGTTACTGATTACCTGTTAGATAGCTGGACACACGCCGCTTTTGGTCCCTAACCTCTGCTCAGGTGCCCCACAGCCATTCCATGTATTTGTTAAATATTTGCCGGCAGCTCAATTCATCAGTTGAACAATTTAATGAGTTAAATGACTTGATGAGGTATTGATTACCCAAACCATCAATTTTGTTTCTACCAACCAGTTGAGCATAAACAGTCACAGTCACAGAATATTCAGCTGATTGGTAGAAACAAAATCTTGGTCTGCATTTGTAGTTTCTGGTCCTGAAATGCCCAACACTGAGTCCTACACACTGAACCCTGGGCAAAAGCCAAATATTCTGTCATGTCCTGGGCTGCCTTGTTTACTTGCCCCATCGTACAGGCAGACAATGAAGCGTCTAAGATACACTTGGAGGACAGCAGGCATTAAAGACGATATGATTTGCACTGTCTTAAAGAATCACCCAGTAACAAGCCAATATAATGCCTCTGTTTGTGTCTTCCCACTCTGAAGCCCGGGAGTCAGTGATCTGGGAGCTGGAACAGCGCCACCTGCAGGAGAAGTATCACCTGTTCAAGCAGCAGGTGAAGGAGCAGTTCTCACTGCAGAGGCAGCAGCTCACGAAGAGGCACAGCAAGGTCAGTCACCTGTTGCAGCTGCACTAAATGTATTCCTCAGCCTGTATCTAAACGTATTAGGTCAGTGTTTCCCAACCCAGTCCTCGGGGAACCCCGGACAGTCTCAGCTCCCAGCGCACCTACTGTATAGCAGGTTTCTGGTGTTCCTGATTGGCTGGGAGCTGGAAGGGAGCAAAAACATCTGGGCTTCCACGAAGACTGGGTTGGGAAACACTGTATTAGGCAATCACAAGGTGGTATGGTAACAGTTAATGATATACTGTCACACCTTAAGGATTGTGGGTACGAATCCCAGAAGGGATCCCCTTGTTCATATTACTTATGCTCGGTTAACCCAATAAAATATAGTGCTATAAAATGTATATAAAGTGTTAAATAAAATAAAATTATAATATTAACCAAGCTAGCAGTAGTTTAGATAATATGCAAACTCTGCAATTAAGAGAAGCTGAGACCTCAATGCGGTTCAGATTAGCTAAATCTGATATTCATCTCCCACCTCCCCTGGCACATTCCCTCTCATCCCATCACCGGCACGCATTACCCGTGTCCCCATTCAGGACAAGGAGCGCACCAGCCGCTTTCACCAGTCCCTGATCGAGGAGCAGAAAGCACGGCAGATGCAGGAGAGGACACAGCTCCAGCGTTCCCAGCGCGCGGAGGCCAAGGCCCATCTGGTGCAGTTCAAACTGGAGCTGCGAAAGCAGGGTTTGAGTAGCACTGAGCAGAAGCAGCGCCTCAGCCAGGTCAGCTCTGGCTACTGCAGCTTGTTTTTTCTGTCAGACATGGGCATCGATGCTTTTCAGCTGCAGTAGGCGTTAAAAGTCTGTTTAGTTGCATACTCTCCCAATGGCTGCCTGTGCAGGGTCACATGACGCATCTCTCTTGCTCTGTGCAGTTTTTGTTGGAGGAGGAGGGGAGGCAGAAGCAGGAGAAGCAGAACCTGCAGCAGAGCCATGAGCAGCAGCAGACGGAGCTCCAGGAGCAGTGTGAGAGCAGCGTGGCTGAGCTGCAGCAGCTGCAGGTAATGCCGCTCTTCTCCTACAGTCATGTGCATTTCCACTTGCACTTTCACTGCAGATGAGAATGTTACACAATTATAGAACACAGATGCCCATTAGGGGGTATAATAGGCACGTGTTGTGTAGCTTTGCAAGGCCGTACAGTGGACGGGGTGTGAGCCCTGAAGCTGGTGGGGGCACTCGTGCAGGCGGCTGGCTGTGCACAAGCGCGTGCAGTGTGCTAACCAATGTGCTGTGCTGGGCTCCGTCAGAATGAGAAGCTGCAGCTGCTGGTGGAGCGCGAGAAGACGAAGATCAGGGGGCTGGAGAATGAGCACACACTTGAGCTCAACGAGTGGAAGAACAGGCTGTCCTGCAGGAAAGAGGTGAGGTGGGGTGGTGCGGGTGTGGGGTGGTG